CTCACGTAATTCCTCCTACATGATATATTAATGTATATATTAAACTGCAAAAAATTTATTAGCAAGGAAAAATAGGATATTACCTTACATATTTCTGAATTGTTTCTGGTTCAACAAGTTGATCTTTCTTCTTGCGAGTTTCACAGAAAATAACAATCCATAGTTCGCAGATTATTATCTTCACCCCCCTTCAAATAAACAAATATACAGTAATGAATATTAAATGCATAATCAATTTGCACAACCCACACATTAATATTCAAAGTATATATACCATTTCAAAAATAAGCTCTCTGACCAGTTTGCTACAAATCCTATGTAGCATTGTCAGGTGACTTCAATTTTTGGAAGCTCGCTCACTCTTTTCCTGTTTTCATAATTATTTACTTGAGCAAAGCAAACTCAATGCCCATCATTTGACAGCCAAACAATTAATTAATAACCTAATGTAAGCCTCAAAGTTTTATATGAAACTATGAAAGCAACATATAGCTTTCCTTAAGGCTGAAATCTGTTTTAGTTGGTCCTAGTTATATAATTACTCTAACCTCAATGTTTTCCAGAGAGTTTCTTACATAAAAGTCATGGCTGCATCTTTCAATTCATGTTCTTCTATTCTCATATTCATGGATCATATAACACTTATTTTCAGCCTAAATTACACAAGAAACCAGAATAAGTGTTTCCTCTAATTTCAGCCTACAACAGTTAATCATGGCTGCATCTCTTAGTTCATCTTTCATGTAGCATGTTCAAATTCAATGTTTTGCCACTAATCGTTTCAAGTACCACAATACATATTTATTCAATTGTTTTAAAGTCTAGACTACAATAACAGAAAGGTCACTTAACTTGACTGGCCACACTTGACAACTAAAACTTAACAATCAATAGTTTCAAATAGTGTTTCATAGCAACATAAAGAATAAAAAACAATTACACTACAGTTGGAGAACTCTTCAAAATAAACATTAACATGAAAGACATGTACCTTATACTTTGGAGTAAAATAATAATTCTTTAGTAACCATGCCCAATCTTCCTTGGTTACACCATTAGGAATCTTTTTCAAAGCTTCATGTGGGGCCTTGTTCTTCACATAATCAAAATGCATCTTTCCTCTCCATTTATTCCATAACTCTCTCATGTGCTTAAGGACATGATCTTGATGCTCAAATAGATCATCACCCTTGAATGATTCCTAATCAAAACAGGTTTAAATTTGCATTACAAACAACTTTAATGATCAACATTAAGTTGTGGCCTTATATGATAATGGTCGAGTTGTATCATCCTTGTATAGATATATGGTTATATTTTCCTACCCCCGTGTGCCTTCAACATATTGGTGACATCTTGATCACATCGCAATGGCATCCTATCTTCATCGGTTATTTTTATCCCAACGGAATAGATTGAAGTTCTTTTCACAGTATTCTATGTCTCCAAAGCACAGAATAATTGTGTGAGTTGTGAAATCACCTTAAGCAGATGAAACACATCATTAGATTCGATCTAAGTTCAAATTTAATAAAAAACAGTATTACCAAAACCGGATACCATTGAAAGTGAATTATACCATAATCAGAAGCACGACTATCATGTACATGATGTAGTGGTCCTTTAGAAAAACCATTAGAATTATTAACAGGTTTATGAGGAAACATTGATCGTAGTCCTTGTTCACCGCCTTTAAAAGTGCACTTGTCTATTTTTTGCCTTTTAAGACACTAGAGGGGATCTAAAAATCGAGAAAAATAATTACTCAAAAATGTTATTCGGATTGACACATTAATTAGAAGGTGGAGGTCCTAGACGAAAAAATTAATATTGACACATTATACTAATACTTCCTCTACCCTACACGGATTGTCTCATTCGTAAATTCTCACTAAGATTGTCTCACACCAAATGTTATAAAGTTGTGTGACTCTAAATCGTTTTTACTTTATTCTTACTTTATCAATTTCCTATCAACCAATAAACTTACTTTTTTTTTAAATAATCGTGACACCACTTCAAATCCCAATGTTAGTGACACCACTTCAAATCCCAATCGTGACACCACTTGAAATGCACATTTTCCAATTTTTTATATGCACGTTTCTGTTTTACATGATGCACAATGCTCAAATCCAACGCTCTAGAATCATTCTCATTTCTCTCCTAAGATGGTATTCTCATTTGATCCTTACCCTATATACATATATATGTATATATGGGAACTCTTCCGGTAAGGTATACCTTACCGGAGCCGCCGTGCGGCCTCCACGTTTTGAGGGCCTTACCGGTGGAATTTTTCGATGAAATTTTTTGAGCATGTTCTTCATCAAGTCTAGTACATCCATACCAAATTTTAGAAAAAAAAAATCAATTGGAAAGGCAGTCAAATAATTTTTGGAAGATAACTGCAGCCTTTATATACATATAAAACGCAGTTATCTTCCAAAAATCGTTTGACTGCCTTCCCGATTGAATTTTTTGCTGAAATTTGGTGTGGGTGTACTAGACTTGATGAAGAACATGTTAAAACAATTTCATCGAAAAATTCCACCAGGAAGGCCCTCAAAATGTGGAGGCCGCATGGCGGCTCTGGTAAGGTATACCTTACCGGAAAATTTTCCTATATATATACACACATATTGTCATTATTTCATATAAGTACTGCAATCATAATCATAGTATGTATTAGTTAAAAAATTACTTCAATTGTTTTCGAGTGGGCTGCTAAAATTACAATATGCGGATTACTTTATTATGGGTATAACTACAGTATTTATCATACGATAGTACGAAGTATGTTCCTATTATTAGTTAAGTAATTTGACTTCAACTGTGAATTTCATTCAAACAAAACTAAACTCTGAATTAACCTTAAGCCAAAAAGATAAAGCTGTAATTTAAGTCATCTGCCGGCAAGTTGAAAACTGACAAGGTGCAATCTACTTCTGGGAAATTCTATGAATTGTAATTGCATTTTTCCAACGGCCGGTTTGCTGACTCCCGATTTTCAGCTTGCAAACTATTCAATTAATAATTCGAGTAGTACGGAGTAGTATCTAATAAGGAGTACTCCGTATCACTATGTATTACTACACTAGTGATATTTGAGGCCCCCGTGGAATCCGAGGCCTTAGGCAATCGTCTGGGTGAATCCCCCGTGACCGGCTCTGAAGGGAAGATAAGAGAGGTCTTGTTTCCAATGATTTTTCTTACATTCATAGGGTTACTCAGCGGCTAAGAAAGGAGAGATTGAAAAATTCGGCTTGAGTTTGCGTGGTGGGAAGACCCTCTGGATTCAATTAAAATAAAGGTGACAAGTAACTTTTTTATACATCCAAGACCCTCAAATTGAAAGCGTAAGTCTCACTTTGTGAAAACAATCACAATCACAATCACAAAACCTTGTTCTACTTATACCAAACTTTTATTTCAAACAAATATTGTGATGTGCATTGACTTTTTACTTGCATAATGTATCTCTCTTTGTTTATGGAATTACTAGAAAAACTTTCACAATGACATATAATAATATAATATCCAAATATACTTAATTATCCAAACACACACAATTAAGAACATGATATTTTATTTTATGAACTTTTACTTAAAATTAAATACGGAGTATGTCATTTTGAAATATTATAAGCGAAATGTCAATACTAGAACTATAATCCTATCCTCACAAAACATTTAGAGGTCGTTTGACAACACTGTTGTTAGGCTTATCAGGCTTATCAGCCAACTTTTTCACCAAACACGTAATTTTTGCTTTCGCGCGCTGAATTGTGTAATAAGCAGAAAAAAGTAAGGTTGAGGTTACTTTTCAGGCTTTATTGGCTGAAGTTACTGTAGAATGTAGATGACCATTTTAGCTAATTTTACATATATATATTTTTTATTTTATTAATAAAATTTACTTTAATTTTTTTCTTAAATCAGCAGAATCAGCCAATGCAGCCAGTTCAACCAGAACTTCATAAATTTTAGCAGAATCGGTCAAATCACCCGATTTTCGTGCTACCAAACAGACTTTTAACGTTATATATTTATATTTTTCGTATTTATATTATCATGCACGACAGTATTTACTATCTAAATATTTGTAATGACACCGAGTCTTTTTCAAAAATGTTGATTGCACTATTATGCAAACAAATTCAGTGGGTAGTACGGAGGACCACATTAGACGTCTTTTTGTAGTGTTGATTGTTTTATTATAGTAATAATAAACTTGAGAAATGACACTTGATAATTAATAACAATTGGATATGTAATACTCTGAAACTTACAGTAAAAAAAAATCGACTTAATTTGGATGTATTATCCCGTACATGTTCATTGTTCACTGCAAAAAGAACTTGCAAAATATAAATGTGCAAAACTACAAAAGCCATTGCCTAAACCTTAAATATACACTGCATAAAAGTTTGTTAAACCACAAGAAAACGAAATCGAGGCAAAAGCAACCACATGAATCATGAATATTACAGAGAACTTTTGTCTTCAGTCCCGGTTGACCGGAATCGTTGTCTAATTGCCCTTCATTTGAGGTGTTTTGAGGAAAACTTTATTAATGAAATTTTGAGAGAATGTTTTTTATGAAGTTTAGATTAGGTTAAAAAATTCAGCTTAAAATTGAACCCGAAAATCGGTTAAATAAATTATCGAAAAATACTGAGTTTTTATATATATTATGGCGCAGTGTTTTTCAATAATTTATTTAACTGACTTTCTGATCGAATTTTAATCTGAAATTTTGTGTATTACACTTCATGACAGATATTTACAAAATTTTATCAAAAATTCCACCCGTAAGTATGTCAAATGAAAGAAGTCTGACGGCGTTTCCTGTCAATCTGGACTAATGAGAAAAGTACTCATATAACAAAAACAACAAAAATAGGCGAGGCTGGATTATAACAAACAACAGAGTGATTATCGGAAAACAGGCTAGTGATAATTAAGCATAGAAAACAAATCAAAACCAAAAAGAAATACGGAGTATAACAAAAATCAAAGATAATCTGTTGTTTCTATTTGGGACGGGGGGAAAACGGAAGAGCTGAATAAAATAACAAAAATCCTATTCTTTAGCTCTGGAAGTTTGAATGTACTCAGTCTTCAGCTAATTCTTCACCAAACTCTCACGAAAATAGAGAAAACCCCAACAATTCTTATTTCATTTCAAAACTAGTTAACCAGTTTATTCTCCCAGATTCATCTTCATCACATGCATTTCTCCTGAAAGATCAAACCTTGAAATCGTTCATGTGGCTGCCAAGAAGGACTTCATAGTTTATACCCTCATCCAGGTATACTAAAAAATAAAAATTGATCACATTTTTAGATTTATTTGTTGATTAAATAGCTAGGCTCACATATTGAAAACTCCATGAGAGAAGTCATAGAAGCTATGGAAAGAGTTTTACCTCAAGAGAAGGGACTCATCTCTTGCAAATCTCTTTTTGAGATGTTACGTCCTGCAATATCATTCAATGCTAATCAAGAATGCAGAGAAGGGCTCGAGTTGAGAATCGGGAAACAGCTTGACCAGGTAACGGTCAAGGAACTACTTCTCATACCTCCTGCCCCAGAAGAAAAGTATGACACTGAATGTCTAAAGAGGATGTTGAAGATTTATTATGACAACTACACGAGCCCGGAGTACTCGGGTTTCGTTAAAGTGGCAAACCTCATGGAGGAATTCTTGTGCGAGGTCGCGAGTGACATGGACATAAAAGTGGACACATTTGCATAACTTGCAGACTTGTCAGCTTCCGTATCGGTTGAAGCCAAACAGAGCTCTGATGGGATCTACCGAGCCGTAGATGTTTACCTGGAGAAGCACAAATATTTGGCAGATAAAGAGAGGGAGAAGGTGTGTGATGTTCTGGATTGCAGCAGGATGTCAACTGAAGCATGCCAGCACGCCGCTCAGAATGACCGCTTGCCCATCAGGTTGGTGGTGCAGATCATGTTTGCAGGACAGATGAAGTTAAAGGACACACTGGGGAAAGAGACGATTTAGTCTTGTGGGGCTTTGAAGGTTGAGAAGAAAGATGGAGGGGTGGAGTTGAGTGCAAGTGAAGATGATGATCAGGGGGTGAAGGCAGAGATTGAAAAGATGGGGAACAAAGTGTTGGAGTTGGAGAAAGAATGCAATATGATGAGGATGCAAATTCAGGAGAGGAATGAGAAGAAGAAGTCTGTGGAAAGAAATGAAGAGGAAGTTTGGGTGCATGACCACCATGTATGACTGCAACAACAGCCATGTGCAGAACAAGAAAAAGGTGCATCCAAGATAGTGAGTCCGTTTGGAGACCTCTTTTTTCGGCTTATCAGGCTTATCAGCCAGCTTTTTCACCAAACACGTAATTTTTACTTTCGCGTGCTGAATTGTGTAATAAACAGAAAAAGTAAGGTTGGAGTTACTTTTCTGGCTGTATTGGCTGAAGTTACTGTAGATGACCATTTTAGCTATTTTTACATGTAATTTTTTCTTTATTTTATTAATAAAATATATTTTTAAAATATTTTTTTCTAGAATCAGCAGAATCAGCCAAAACAGCCACTTCAGCCAGAACTTCATAAATTTCAGCAGAAACAGCCAAAACAGCCGATTTTCGTGCTACCAAACGGGCTCAGTATGTAGCAACCAGCATAAGATCAGACTCCAATAGCTTTTTTTTCCAATAAAATTATATAATCTGTCATGTTATTTATTTCCATCATTTGCAATGGAACCAAAGATTCATTATTTTTTGGCTTGAGAATATGATGGAATAAAGCAAAATGACTTACTAAACTGTCTACGCTTCTTTGTTATGAAGCAGTAGTCAGTCCATGCAATTTTGGACGCGATTTTCACTATGGGTCATCCAGAAACAGTCTCTATGTGCTTTAGTACAGGGGTAAGACTGCGTACAACTGACCCCCCCTACCCTACCGTAGGTGGGAGCCTTTGCGGCACTGGGGTAAATGAAAATGATGAAAATGATGAATCTGTCATGTTATTTAGATTGGGTAAATTCCTATTTTTGTCCCTAAACTATGCCACTTGCCATTTTAGATCCTCATTAACTTTTTGTATCCCTTAGACCAGTAAGGAATGTAATCCCTATAATGAATTTAATCTTTATTTGTCACAAAGATGGGTCAAACTACCACCAATGGTAAACGGCAGATAGTTTTTGTAAAAAAGAATTAATTATAATGGACTAAAATTGTTGCAACTGCAAATACAATGAGGGACTAAAACAGTTTACCCTTTTTGTTCACAATTATAAATTTATAACTGAACTACTATCATTACTATCAGACTTGTAAAACATTCAACTAATTATATAAATGGCAAACCAATATTCTTACTGCAAAAGCAATCTCATACAAACAAACATTAGATTGTGAAACAGAGTCTTCCAAGACTTCAACCACTAAAAGGAAGCCGCTTTTTCTACAAATAAACAAAAACAAATCTTGATTTGGAAAAGAGCCTACTTAGGCAATGGATCAGTCTCCATTTTCCTCAAAAGAATAAACAACCTCTGATCAAGCATAAATTTGTGCATGTTCTTGGGCGCACTGCAGAGCTTCAGTTGAAGTCCTCCAGAAGAAATATACACCACCCTAAGATGACAGCATCAACAAAATTCAGATCAGTGGACTTGCAAAACCAAAGTTATACATTGAAGAGTTATAGTAGTGGTATACTTCATGAACTGTATTTTTAGTGTATGCAAAGAAAGCCTCAGTAATATATTACTCCGTAATATAAAGTACTCTGTAACTCTTATTAGTGATTTATATGAACATCCATTCTCTTTTTAGGACTAATATTGTGTTTTTTCTTAAATACCATATCAATGTTTTTTCTAGTTTGAAAGCACTCCTTCCCTTTTTTCCTTGCACACACTTATAGGGCTCCTTTAAAAGTGCTTTTTATTTAAAAATCAACCAATCCAAACACATACACTTTAGAAGATTCCTCTGCAACCTTATAGAGTAGCCCATGCATGATATACTCGAACTTGTCTGCCAGTGATTTCATCTGGCCCTGCAAACAGGTTTAATTTGAAAGGTAGCTGCTTCAAGAAAACTGAAGGCTTAAGCTGTAATTTGTGAGTCAATGTGTAGTAACATGAAAGGTAATTACATATAACTAAGACGAGAAACTGGTGACATGGTGATGCAACTAGTGACATGGAGCTTTAAGACATCAATAAAGTCGAGAAACTGAAATTATTTACATAGAAGTTTCAAACATTCAGTTCCCAAAAGAAGATACTTTTGGTGAAACTTTGGAGAATGAGTGGTTAGTGTCCAAAACTAAAAGACAAAAATGATAATTCATTCACTACAATCAGCTTGTATCATCATACTAAAATACTAAATCGGTGGACATCAGGAAAAATAAGATATCCCAGCAGGGATATATGATGTCTAAGTCAGGATGGAGCAACTATCTACTGAGTTAGAAAATTAATTGGATGATTTTATAGATGCAACCAAGTAAGTAAAAGAATAGCATACCTGATGGTGGTTTGTTGACCCATCTAAAGCAAGTGTCTGTGACAGCACCATCCTATAAACTTCTCCCGTCTTAACAGGATATAGCTCTGAGTTTATATCTAGCACCATATCTGTCACGCCATCTCTTGTCTTTGCTTCAATTCGAGAAACTGCAAGTTTTAAAAAGTTCATCAAATTAATAATTATAAAAATATAGGGGGCTTGATCTCCCCCCCCCCCCCCCCCCCCGTTTTGACAAAATTGGATTATTGGACATTGGACCCCATTTTAAAAACTTAACATTTACACCCCACCTGTTCAAAGTTCATTTCGCCCAAAAATGGGGTACAAAGAAACTTCACTCATAAAAATAGAGATATGGATGTGATTAAGGATGTTTTTACTTGGACTGTAATTTGCTGGTCTGAACTGGTCTGGTCTGGTCTGGTAAGGTCTGGTTTCTTTGTATTTTTATAACTATCCAAGTCTGGTCTGGTCTGGTCTGAACTGGTCTGGTCTGGACTGGTCTGGGACAAATTACCGTCCAAGTAAAAACATCCTAAATTGCAAATCACCCCAGATGTCATAAATCATCTTAGCACAATAGCACCTAGTTGTGGATGGATATTACAGCGGAATTAGACTGAGATTATACAACAGTGAAATCACTTATCAATATATCTAAATATAATATCTATCAACCCCCATTCAAAAAATAGGGTGCACGCTGCACATATTGTCCATTCAACAAAATAGGATGCACATATTGTCTGAGCAATCAACTACAAAAGATAAATTATTCTTTTAAGAAGAAAAAAAGATGTTACCTATGTCATACTTTTTCCCATCAGCATTGACCGAGACAATCTGGATAATATCATCGAAGTGAAAAGAAGACATCTTGACAGAATTTTCCTAAATGAGAACTGGAGAGTTAAGGAAAGGCTAAGCAGTAAAGAACCACACATCACCATCTGGGGCGTAGCCAGGATGGAGGTTCAGGGGACGGTTGTAAACTAAAAACACTATGTACAAAATTGAAACGAGTAAACAGTTCGAACATAATGATTAACCAATAATGATTAAACAAAAAACCATTAAAATGCATAACAATATTTTAAGTACAAACAATATGTGAAACCAAAACGTTAACTGAACACGACGTACTTTAACTCGGCCTATGTAAAAGTTGAGTTTCGTTTCGGTCCAACTTTACAAATGAAATCACAGTGACGCAGATAATTCACCAAAACTAGAAGAAATTAACTTTTTACATTCTAAAAAAATTCGTGTAAGTAAAACAGTCAAACACTCTATATCGAGAATCAGGATTTCAAGCTACTAGCAAGTGGCAACTTAAATTAAAATATATAAAAAAGTAAAAAAATAGACACTTATGAGTTATGAGTTTATGACTTACCTGGTGCCTGGGGCGACTAGCGGAGCTACAGAAGGCAGCCACAAGCTGAGAAATAAGATGGTGAGAAGCAGACAACCACGCAGCAGAGGCGGGGCTGCGGCGGCGGCGTGAGACAAGTGCCGCGTGCGGGGCTGCCACTCGCAGAAGCGCCGAAGGGATTGCCGGTTTGGGTTAGGGGAACTTCCTCCAGTCTTCCTTTAGGCGATGGGCTAGCAGCCTGGAACTGGGCCAGACTGTTAATCTCACTAGGCCAGAATTTTGTTTCATACTTTATACTCCCTCCATGCCGGAAATTTCTTCTAAATTTGATTTGGATCGGAGTTTAAAATAGTGAAAATGTATGGTTTTGATTGAGTAAGAAAAAGGTAAATGATAGCCAGATAAATCTTTCCAAAAGGGAAATGGAAAGAATTTTTTGGGACATCCCAAAAAGGTAAGTGAGAATACTTTTTTGGGACGGAGGTAGTATAATACTGTACAGAAAAGGAAAAAAATTATAATTAAAATTAGGTGTGGGCATAAAAACCGAAGCGGTACTGAATCGGCCTGTAATGGTACCAAACTGATTAACGGGTATTTAAACGATTTTATAATTTTTTAATCCGAACCGAAGTTGTACCGTTTGAAGTGGTAATGGGTATGGGAACGGTTCTTGATTTCAGGAACGTATGTGTTGGGGTAATGGTCCAACCAGAGGGTCGGCCCATTATCCCTTTAAGTAGAGACCCACCAGACGTTCATCTCCAGGCTCCAAGCCCACCAGGGGCAGCTATCCTCAGACAGCCAAAGGCATCATCAAGGAACGTCTCATGAAGAGGACGCTCGGCCTCTGGAGGCTTGACCGTGAAGACTAGCCAGTATACTACGGCATCTACAACCAAGCAACACACTGACGACGCTTGGCTCCTGACCATTATCCTACACCAAGAGAAGGCCCAGTGCCCAAGGGGACGGTCGTCCCCAAAGTTTGGCGGGAAACCGAGATTCTGGTGGGAAACGCATTTAATGCTAGAGATTTGATGGTTGGGAGCCTAGTCATCCACAACTCTCCACGTCAGTATATCCACCTGCTCCTTAGTAGTATAAATAGTAGCATTTATTTCATTGTAAAGGGTTGGGAACATACTCGCCCTAGCATCCGCCCTAGCTTAAAGCAGTATTCTCAGCTCTTCCTTAGCGTGAAAGACGACCGGCCTCAGGCCAGTTAGCATTTGTGTGTTGTATACGGACTCTTATTACTATTAATAAGATATGGCTCACTGTGCAGATATATTTTAGCCCATCTTACTTGCTTGCACATCACATATCCATACACTCTTCCACTTGAAATCCTTGGGTTACGTGTTGGGCCCCAGATTGAAGGAATAAACCTCAACAGTACGATTCCAAATTATTATTATTTTTAACCCACAAGGCAAACCACCAAAATCAGTGAGGTAAATGCCGGAAAACATTTACCAAGTTTTATTAAAATAGGAAAATGAATACACAAAGAGGGGAAGTAGGCCAAAACCTGTTTGGTTCCAAATTAAATCTTGTTTAGGCCAACACTTATAACCAAATCCCAATTCAAAACTCCTGCCCACCTTAGTTTTAAAAGGCGCGAGACAGCACGAGGGCAGGGCTGTCTAATGAATATGGAGGTCTCGGTTCTAAATGAAAATAGAGGCCCCATATATGAATAAAAATAAAACCACATACAATAACAAACTCACATAGTTCAACAAAATTAATTGTGTTC